TTTGCATATTTTCATTAAAAAAGTTTGCAAAATAATCTATGTTTAAGTCCAAAATGATACACTGTTAAACGAGTGAAAATGATTTTGAAAAATTGTTTGAACTTAGTATGATGGCTGAAAATTTTGAAGTGGAGGCCTTATTGATATTTTGGTCATGGATTCAAATAAAAAATATTTTTTCATGCAAACGGAATTTTTTCTAGTTCTATAGAGCGTCATCTTAGTGGCAACGATATGTGGACAAAAAAATTCTTGTATTTTTAAAATACTGGTAAAACTAGATTAGAACGTACTTTTCATTTAGTATGAGAGTGAGTGCGTGTCAACATTCTTTTTATATGGCATTTGCACACATTAGACCATTGGCTTTCAAATGCATTCGGGCTGAAAGATTTTCCATATGAGGTAACAGTTATGTGGCAAAAAATAACGTAGACTTAGTTTTAAATTCTCGATCTAAAATATTGTTTGTTGTTGTCTGCATATCGTTGCCACTAAAAAGACGCTCTATAGAACTGGAAAACACTTCGTTTTGCATCAAAAAATATTTTTTATTTGAATCCATGACCAAAATATCAATAAAATCTTCACTCGAAAATTTTCAGCCATGATACTATAATGAGAAATTTTTTCAAAATCATTTTGGCTCATTTAACGGCGTATCATTTTGAACCCAAACATAGATTATTTTGAAAACTTCTTTTTAATCAGAATATGTAAAAGGAGATTCTCTATCTTTCAATGTAATTTTTAAATAAAGCTTACCCCTCTGATTCATTGATAACACAACGGCAGCTATTGTGGTGGTATAATTTTCGTCAAGTAAAAATTGAGGGACTTTAATAAATATTTATTTTGTGCAACTTGATAATACGTAAAAGGGAAATCTGACTCCATATTTGAGTAAAGTATACTCGAATGTGTGCGATCATATCAATTTATCTTTTCTCAAACATGAATAAAAGTTGAGAACGAAAAAGAATCCCTCTGAAAGAAGTAGTCTTAAAATTTTGACAAAGTCTGTATTTATGTTAACAGTCAGTTGATCTTGTTTATGAATTCATTTTTATAGTGATTTCGGATGAAAGCAGAAAGAAGTACTTATTTAACTTGCCTGATAAAAAAAAAGAAAGGTTAGAAAATATGGAAAAATAACATACATGGATGAAGCATGAACGAACAATTAGGAGAAGCAATAAATTTTTATTGCTTCCCCAAACTTTTTTTAGGGGAAGCAATTGCTAACTCATTGCTTGCTGGTGCGCCGCCCATGAGCGAATGTCTGCAGGAAATACCAGAAAATCACCCTAAAACCCAGTTTTTTAGCTAAAACTCGCCATTTTTGTTCGATGACCCCATAATTAAAATGCACCATTACATAGAGCTCAAAATTCTGCATCCAGCACAACCACTTTTAGGTTCAGCACAGATACTCAAGCGAATGAATATCTACAAGAAATACTCGAATCCGCTTCTAACTTTTCCTACGTTTCTTGTTAATAATTATTTTCTTCATGTTAACTTTAAAACTAAGAAGACTGCATTTCTGCTATACATTGCAGCTCCGGCTAGCATGTATATATTGTCGTATTTCCGACGGAAATTGGACAATAAAATACCCATTGATAATTATGATTGTTGAATTTCCGACGGAAAATGGACAATAAAATATACATAGAAAATTATTATTGTCGTAATTCCGTAAGATTTTCGACAATAACGAAAATTCGACAATATTTTCAAAATGCCAGTAGAAATTCGAAAAATTTTGAAATTCTACCGTAAATTCGATATTGCCGAAATTCAGATGGCGAAATTCTTATTGTCCAAATTCCATAGAACCGGGCGTGGGTGTGAGAGTGTTGATGTGGTGGTCTGGGTGTGGATGTGTGGTGATGTGGGTGTGGAGTGGGTGGATGTGTGGCTGTGCTTGTGACTGTAGGAATATAAATGAAGACTAAAAACATACACGCAAACCTGCACACCCATGCCAGATACGTATAGCCAATTCTTTCATGCAGCCTCGCCTATTAAAAATGCTACAGAATTGCGAATTGCTCGCGGCTTCTATTGTTTACACATTCTGCCATCGAAATATTGATTGAATAGCAACCGAAAGCGTCAAGTAACACTCGAGCTTTTTCAATAAGCACAGAGGGAGAGAGAGAAAGACAAATAGTTGGAAAGATTGAAGGCGGCATGGAGTGTAACTATTTACTTGAGGATACTGCTTCAGCTAACACGCCTACACCCAGACCATCTTTGGAACCAATTCATGATAGTAAGAAGAGTGTGAGTGTCTGATGTGGGTATTGGTGTATGTTTCTTGTCTTCATTAACATTCCGACACCGACAGCCACACCCATCCAGATCGGTATCTGACCGGATCGGTCCGACCGGTTGCCGGTACCGATTCCATCTATCATCTGAGATATGTGCACCGTAAAAATTCCCGGCCAAACGAATTTATTTTCGCTGAGATGTAAACGTCAAAAAGAAATCACCAAAATTGAGCTTTTTTGGTAAAAATGCTTTCAGAAGAATTTCAATATCTCAACAATGGAAAAATATTTTTGCAAACGACTTGCGTCAAAATTCTTAGAACTTTTCTCTATAACATATCTTAAATTGAGCAAAATCTGACGACCCCTGCTGAGCAGCTTTTCTGGGAGTGAATCCCAATTATCGCATATGTATATATATTAGTAAAAGTTTGTGTTCGGGTGAAAATCAAAAAGCAAATATTCTGCAAATTGTTGCTAATAGATAAGGGGTAGTAGTACTTAGTTCGAAAGTTGCAGCTCACGACTTGCTCATAAGCAATAGAAACCTGGTCACAAGATGGAGGGTACACGTAGAACTTATGAAATACCTCTATACCGCCGAACGAACAAAAAAGTGGCTTTGACTATGCCAGTCTGTAGAGTACCTAAGGTAGTATATATCCACAAAGTTTCAGGCCTAAAAATATCATAGTTGAAAAATGCCAAAGTATACACTGAACGGGTACTGCATCGGCTATCCCCATTTTTTAGGCGAGGGTGCCTCTGTTGTGATTCCAATATCTCAACAGGCAGAAGGTTTTAAAAGAAAAAAATTTAGGCGTTTTCATATCTCACTTAGGGCTACATACAGAGAAAATTTCATTGAAATCAGTGATATCAATGGAGCACGATTGGTCGTCCCTCTCGTGCAATGGCTCCTAGATCCTACACCCACATCCTTACCTGTGCCTGTGCCCACACCCACTCACACCCAGACTCACCCACATCCACACCAACACACCCCACACCCACCCACACACACACCGACACCTACACCCACACCCACACCCACAGCCACAGCCACAGCCACACCCCACACCCACAGCCACACCCCACACCCACACCCTAGACATTCCCTTTACTCTGGGAATTTTCAAGTGAATTTTTCTTACATCATAAATCAAGTTCTTACTGTCATACTAGTATCTTGTAATACAAATAAAAAAAACAAACGTATCTTTCCGTTTCATGAGCAACGTGATTAATCCACTTTATATCGGCACTTTTTTTTGGAAAGAGGTTTAGAAAATTATGTAAAAGGCTTTTATACAACGGAGAAATATTTCAATAAAATTAGTAAGTTAATTAGTAACAAGAAAGTCTAAATAATATTTCGTTACCATAATCTTATGAGCTATCGAATCATGTTCTCATGTCTGTTCTTAAAATACTTTTCTACATATTATAATATTTTTTTGTCTAAATGATTGTTGAATCCGGGGTGTGGGTGTGGATGTAGGTGTGGGATGTGAGTAGAAGGAATTAACACCCACACTCACACCCTCGTGCTCTTATATGATACATATTTTTTTTTACTTCGTTAGCTTTCGGGCTTATAACCTTATATCCACTTGTAGCTCTTGTAACATTATCCCTTTATTGCCTTACTCCCTTCAAGGTCTATGGGTACTTCCATATAATAGCTTCTGAGAGACTATGGGATACCCCCATAGGACGACCCTTAAGATCCCATGAGTGACCCCATATAGTAGCTCTTCAGGACCCATAGGTACCTCCATAGAATAACCCTAGAGGACCTATGAATGTCCTCATATAATAACCCTTGAGGATCTATGAATACTCCCATAAGATAGCCGTTAAGAGTCTATGCGTGCTCCATATCATAGCCCTTCAGAACCCATAAATACCCTCCATAGGATAGCCCTTGAGGGCTCATGGGTGCCCCCATATAATAGTCCTTAACGACTTAAGAGTACCCCATATAATCCCCTTGGGATCCTCGTTATTGCAGTGAATGAAATATACGAATAAAGATATGTATATGAACTGTTAAATTTCAAACCAGCTCTATCATTTTTACAAACCCAAAGCCAAATCCAAGTCTGGATGATTTGATCACAAATCCCAAATCTACTCAAGATTTGTTGCATGCCTAGTTCAATGTGACGCTTGAAATGGTAATAACTATTGAAATAAATCTTGTAGAACTATGAAGGAAAAGTACTTCTACTAGTGTCATTTTTTAGTCCTCCGAAGGCTTAGCTTTTTTTATATGTTTTGACAGAATCTGTATTGAAAAATGATTTTTGAATGAAAATTATAGACTATTGGCTGAAAAAATAGAACTTTTTTTATGTACATAGTTGAGGTTTTTTATAGTTACTGTTAGATCATGTTGATCACATGATCATTGGTCTTACCCTCCCCTCTCCCCATGTGATCATGAGTGATATTATCCAGACTCTCACTCCCTCCCTTACTGATCACGTGATTTCCGAAAAACTCCCAACACTTAACTACATCAATAACTGTAATTCTAAATAAATTCTTTTTCTTCTTCTTCTCTCTTGCAAAATAACTTTTTTCTTACTCACATAACTAATATCTAATTTTTTTTGACAGATATAATAACTTAATCTGTTTCCTATAAAATATTAAATAACATCGTTTCATTTAGATTTCAAATTTTATTTCAATAATAATAAATAACAATAATCAATATACTGCTGCATGAGGAAAATAGTCTTCTATTAAATCTAGAGATATATCTGGTCGATGGTATAAAATTAGACATTCGATTTTGCCACAATTTATTCGTCTAGTATCACTTGTAAAATTACCCGTTACGGTTTGTAAGGAATCATAATCAACATGAAGATCAATATTATTTAATAAATGCATTTTAGTATTATTCAAAAATTGTTCCAAATAATTTTCATGAATTCGAACAAGATAAAGTTCTCTAAGATAAGGATATTCTATAATTGAGCATTGTTGTTTATCATTCTTTTGTGGTTCCCAATTATGTATACGTAATTTTCTAATACATGGAAATGATTTAGCAATTTGAAGAAAAAATTCATGTTCAAAAGGACGTTCATCATATAATGATATATCACTAACAGAATTAAATAATCCACGATGAAAATTGTTCGTTATATTATAATAATACAATGACGGATATGGATATGAATAAATACGAAAATGAAATTCATTTGCTTTTGGAAAATAATCAATATATGAAATAATTTTATAATTTTTAAAATTTTTAAATGTATTTTTAATATTTTCATTTGATGGTAAATTAACTTGATTATTAAAAGGAATAATTGAACGAATATTAAATTTAAATTTTTTTAATTTTGTCATATAATTGAAAATATTTTCTTTCAAATTAGTACCATCAATAATTCCTACATTACAACAAACAAAATACAAACTGAGTTCTTCTAAATTTAACATTCGATGTAAAAGTGGAATAAGAATATTATTGTAGACTAATAATATCGATTCATGATTTAACACAAAACATTTTAATTTTGGAAGTTTTTTCTATAAAATAAAACCAAAAAAACAAAAACAGTTAATAGATGTAACTATTATTCATTTTATCAAAAAATATTAATATGAATCACTTACTTTATTATTGATCACAGGTAATGTAGGAATATTTGACGAACAAATAGTAACATAGAATTTATTAAGTTGATTAAAACGACCATCAAGTAAATATAAACAATCTTGATAAGAGTCTACGACGACACTCAATTCTAATAAAGTTGAAGATAATATATTTGGAGGTGATATACCAAATGTTAATCGATGATAATCAAAATCATCAAATGTTAATCGATGATAATCAGAATCATCAAATGGACTGAAATTTAAAGATTGTAAATATTTGAACTTTGTTAAGATTTGTGTAAATATAAATATATTTATATCTTTAATTGAACTTGTTCGTTCTTTACATTTGCTAATATGAATAGCAAGTGATAATAATTGAAATTTGAAAATACGAATTAAATAACTTCCATCTAAATAAACATTGAATATTTTTACGAAATTATTTTTTTTTTAGTTAATTTAAAACAAATATTTAATTCTCTTTTTCTTATTTATAAATCAATAATAAATTATCTTAATTTAAATTCTCAGTTAGAATATATTCTATTGTCAATGATGTGTTTTTTTTATACTACAGATTTTTTTTCCTTTAGAAAACAAAGTTTTATTGAAAACATTATAAAATAATATTTGAATTTTATTCAAATACATATTCATCGATAAATATTAAGAACAAAAGTATTTTATCAAAAAAAAAAAATATTTGTTTTAAATCAAATTCTAATTAGATAAAAGTAAATTATTTTAATAGCCTCTCATATAATTAATAATTCAAAAGAGTTAAAGAAAATATCTTACCAGTAAAGAGATCTCTCGCTCTTTCTGATGTAAGTTTATGTAAAGCCAATCCATATAAATTAGGATACGTTGTTACAAGAAGAATACGATCCATAGATACTGATTCAAGATTGAGCCATAAAATTTTATGACAAATTTTAGGTAAAATTTCAAAATAAAATCGACTAAGTATGGGTTCAGTAATACGATCTAAATCATGAGAAGGTGCCATAAATGTTAAAAATCTTGTAAAAATTGAATCTTGTACAATAGTATCAAGTCGTTTATTAACACCTAGTAAAGAATAGAGTACATCAGTATTGGGCAATTTTTTCAAAATAATCAAAAGAATTTCATCAGGTAAATCATTCAATTGAATAAATGAATTTTCCATGTTTATTTTGATTTATGATCTTGTCTGTTTTTTTTTTTGCTTTCCTTATCCATATATATATATACTCATGTCTGTTAGTTGACCGATGTCGTCAATGAAAACAATAATATATTTTTCTATAGTATAAGTTGATCATGAATGAATGAATAAATAACCGAATGATATTTTTTTTTTCTCTTTTTATTTAACATTTAGTTTAATATGTGCCGATAAAAATAATTAATAAAAAGTTTTACTTTTGATAATATACAGTGCAAAATTTCTGCATTTTAAATGTCAAGTTGATATTTCAAAAGAAGAAATTGAGTTTTTCTGAATTTGAGATTTCGTAGGATTACATATCCTGTTAAGAAAAAAAAAGTCTCTAAATGATATCCATTTATTGTAAAATTGGTATTCCATTAGGTTAATAAAGATATTGTTATGATTGACGTGGTTCTTCAATTTATTTTATGAAAATAACATATTCAAAGAATATTAATTATCTGTCAAAAGTAAATATATGAGAACAGTACATGAATGTTTTCTGATTTAACTCGTAGAGATGCTGAAAATGTGTGATAAGATAATCATTTTTGTCAATAATGATATTTTAGATGAAATCTAAGACAATGCAAGTTCGAGTTGATATTTGTAGAATTATAAATTTACAGCTTTTCAATATAGTAATAAATAAGATAAACATATCATCATATCAGTAAATTGAACAATTTTTTTTTGTTTTGGTGCTTTATTAAATACACTTTATTATTCATCAGGTTGATAAAAACTTAATGAATATGAAAATATACCAAATCTATTTTCAATTTCTTCATTATCTTTAGTATATGGTGAAAGAAGATCTTCTGAACATAATGTATATGTTAAATCAAATCATGTAAAAAAAAGATTTTTTTTTTTAAAGATTGATCATGACATTCTTCGAATTAATTAATATGTGATTTTAAATTTGATTCATCAAGTAATGTTGATGCATCTAAAAAAAACGTCCTTTTTTTTTTCTTATGCATAGAATATTTTTACCATTATATTTTTTTGAAATTTCTTAAGTTTCTTCATCATCGTCATCACTAATTGAATCAAATCCAAAATTAAAATCAAATTCTTCTGATAATGATGTATTTAGACTTTGAATTCGATCTGACAAACTTGAATCAAAACTAAAATCTGATCTTGATAATGAATCATCTTCAGAACAAGAACTTGTACAATTATTAGATTGAATTTGTTTTATATTATATAAATCTGTTATAGTATGATTCACTTATGTTGAATATTTCTTTCTTTCTTGTCCTTCATTTGGACATGTTCCACTCATACTCTTTCCTTGATGTTGTTCATCTTTTCTTCCCAATATATTTGGATTTTTCCTTAGCTTGTTCATATATGTTTTCTGTCGAGTATGTTTGGATTTTTCCTCTGTCATTCACCTATATATAGTTATCATTTTCGGCAATAAAGGAGTAGTTCTGCATTGATTTACTAGATCAATCGTCTGTTAACCAAATCATTTGAAAGAATATTAGATGAATTATTTCTTGAATTTTGTAAATAAAATATAATCTTATGATTACTTGTTTAATATGTTGTGTTGAGACAATCGGTTAATTTTTTCATACGAGCCATTGTTGATCTTTTTCTTTTTTGTCAAATCTAAAACAGACAAAGATTATTATTAATAAACAATTAAGTCAATTTTCGTCTAAAAAATATCAACAAGATAGAAAACAGTTCTACAAGTACTACATAAAACTGCTTTTTTTTTCTATATTCAACGATCTCTCAAAATAAATCTATTATTTCAATTCATTTATTCAAATAAATTAATCTTAAAAAGGAGATATAAAATCTCTGATCATCATCATTCGATTTATGAAGAAACACAAAATTATTAGGTTTTTTTTATATTAGTTTACTAAAAATCAATGATGAAAGAATTTAAAGAAATTCATGTGATAGCAAACTATTACTGTTTATTGAATAAGGTGAAAAAAAGGAACAGATATTATGTTACACAATAGAATATACCTATGCAAAACAGCATTTAGTTTTATTTCATTGTATATAAAGTATTTATCTTATATATCAACAGTACTTGTATGACCTCTATACAAGTTCTTTCATTCCTCATGCAAAACGTCATCTAAAGATTATATTAGATAGTTTCATGTAAGGTGCGGGAAATTCAAAATTTAAGCAAATTTTTTGTTTTTCGA